CCCCAAAACCCCAAAACCCCAAAACCCCAAAACCCCAAAACCCCAAAACCCCAAAACCCCAAAACCCCGAGCAAAACTAATATGATGAAATTTAGAATATAATAAAAATGGAGAAACCATCTCATCCCAAAGATAATAAGCTTCCCGTCCCTCAACAGAATGATCAAGGGTTTATGCCACCAAGTGCGAGTCCTAATTTCGGATCATATCATTCTCCATATGTAATGAATTATGGTAATGATAACAGCATTAATAAATACTCCATTCCATCTGCGAATGGAGGAAGCTTACATAATTATTTTGGCAGGAGTCCTCCAACATTTCTAATGAGTGGTGGAATGACACCTCTCCAGTCTTTGCTTAACAGTCAGCATCGAATTGAGTCTCCCCAATTTGTGCAAGGCACTTCTCCCAATTTTGGAAGAACCCACTATCAAGATCTAATGGCTGATGTGAACGATATTAGAAATGATTGTAGGAGTGAAGGCAGAAGCTCAGTAATGAGTTCGCTCAGTGAAGCAAGTATAGGAGATCTAGAGGAGACTAAGCCAAAGGAAAGCCTTAAAAATCCTAACCCTCCTACCATATTATAAATAAGAATGCAGATTCTATCTCTCATAAAGATATGACAATGGAGAATGTACATCCCGCCAAAGCAAGTCAAGTCTTTGAAGATATCTCGATTCAGCCTAATTCTATTGATAACCAGGCCAAGCCAGTTATTGAAAAGCCTCAGATTGCAGAAGAACTAGAGAAGGAGGTAAGGTTTCTAAATTGCTAAAAATTGCTTGTTCATGGGCTCCATTTGTGGTTTACAATCTGTACAGAAGAAAGTTAAGTTTGAAGAAGTTAAGCAAGCTGAAGAGAGTAAGGAACCACCTGCACAATTGCCCAAGCCAAGGAAGAAGAGAAAGAAATTAGAGAAAAAGAAGGTACACATTTGTTGAAATAGGTCTGGATTTTTATAGAGAAGTAAATCGTGGGATGAAGAAGCAGCGAAGCAAGAGCAAAAGAGAAGAGAAAATCTTGAAAAGAAAAAGGGGAGTCTTGCAGTAAGAAAGGATGTAGTAAATAAGACTTTATTGAGATCAATAAAGCGTCTGATTGGATTAAAATTCGAAGAGCAATCAAAAATAAAAGAACTAAATTCTAAACAACAAAAAGACAAATTTCTCCAACTTATTGAAGGGTTCATCAGCCACTACTTCCCTTGCTACACCCAAGTAATCACTGTCGAGGACAATCCGAACGAAGAAGACTCTAAGCTATCTCAGAACGGAATAAAATTCATTGTCGGTCTCTTAGTCAACCCCAAACTTCTAAAATCGCATTTCAAGTCTGTAAAAGAGCGTACTTTCTTCTACCTATTCCAGAACTTACTTCGGAAGTACTCTCACAGGAAGTTACTGAGACTGATGTCGAACCAGAACTTCATATTCGTGGTGGCTTCTCTGAGGGAGAACGGAGGTTTAGAAGAGATCATTGAGAGTGACCAGACTTGTAATAGGAACAAGCAAGCTTATTATGAAGCAGCTAATAATTTTATTAATAGGGTGTTGTAGAAGAAGTCAGTCTGGGAGTTCTAGGTTGGGGTTTTGGGGTTTTGGGGTTTTGGGGTTTTGGGGTTTTGGGG